CTCTGCAGGGTAAGAAATTTCTGCATCCTTCCGGCCAGCCGGGAGCGCGCTGCCGGTGGTTGGCTGCGTTCGGCCGCGCGCGGGCTGCGCTGCCCTGAGCTGAGCGCAGCCGGCCGGCGCGCCCCGGGCCGGCCTTCGCTGCGCGATTCAGCCTGCCGCTGGCGTTACAGGCTTTTCCCGCCCTCGTCCCAGTCAGCCCCAAGGCCTTCCTCTGCTCTTCATCGTCGTCGGGGAGGCTGCTTTGGCGACCCACGGACAGTAACGACAGGCAAACCCCACCGCAACGGACCAGTCGCCTCCGGGGCGAAGGCTGAAACCCCCTGAGGCATTGCCTGCCTCCTCTCCTCCCCGACTTCTCTGTGACAGCCTTCCTGCCGCCTCCTTGGTGTTCCCCTCTGCCCCCCGGCTCTTGGTCAGGAGCTGTGGACAAGCCCTGCTCGGGCTGGGCAGAAAGCCTCTTACCAGCTCTTTGTCACGTGCCTCCTTCAGGGTGACGATTCTGTGGTCCTGGTGGGAGAAACCAATGGTGCACAGCGCGCACAGGTACTCCCTTTCCTTCTTGCAGAGGTACTCCAGCGGCATGCCGTGCTTCCGACACTTCCTCTCCCCCACAGAGTGGCCAAGCTCTCCCAGGACATGGTCCTTCTGCGAAGCCTTGGCATTGTGTTTGTTCAGATGGGCCTGGCACAAAGGCGAGTCACAGGTGAGGCAGATTTTCACTGCTGGCTGGGGCTGATCAAGGCACAAATCACAGGGAACCATCTCCCTCTTCTCTTCTGGGGAGCCCTTGCCCTCTTTTCCTTTGGAAGTGGTAGCCAGAAAGGTTTCCACCATGCTGCATAGCTGGAAATTCTTCTGTAGCTCCAGGAAGGGTCCCAGCTGGATCTTACACATCGGGCAGGAGTAAGGGGCCCTGCGTTGTTGCTGGACGCTGAAGGCCTTTTGGATGCACTCCTTGCAGAAGCTGTGACCGCAGCTCAGTGACATGGGGTTTCTGTACAAGTATAGGCAGATGGGACAGCTGAGTTCATCTTCCAGGCCAGAAACCTCCCCAAATTCTTCCTTAGCTTTTGCCATGGCTGCAGAAATGGTGCTTCAGCCAGTCTGTGAGAAATGAAACTGAAGAGAAGCTGGTGGCTTTGTGCCAGACTCGCAGACCCAGCCCAGAGGCTGCAGGGCTTCCTCTCTCCCTCCCTCGTGACAGGAAGGCAGAGGGAGATCCACTGTCTGCTCCTGTCTGACTCGTAAACACCTTCTCCAGGCCTCGGCAGCCGCTTTCAGCTTTTACTATCATTTGCTGAGTGGTTTCTGCAGCTTAAGGGCACTGTTCACTGCTCACTGTGAGCCCCCAACACACTGGTGGAAGCAGGATGGTGCTAGGGAGGCGTTTGCAGACAGGGAAGAGGATTGAAAATTGGCCTACGCCCCTCTAGCCTCCTAATAACATCCTCCATTCCAGGCCAAGGGGAGCAAACTTAAGACCAAACCCAGCTGAGAATATTAGGAGGCCTGGCTGGGATAAGCTTTCCTCTCTGTTGTTTGGCCCTTTTCTTGCTCTTCTCCACAGCAGTTACAAATGCTCCTGCAAAGGTAAAATAGAGAGAAGTCAGTGTAAAAGCTTATCGGGACTTGCCGAGGCTGGTGTCCTACCTCCTTCCAGCCGACAAAGAAATGGGACCGCTGACAAAGCCTCACTGAAAGGGCCTATAGGACAGGACTATCCCTGTAAGGCACAAGCCCTGTTCACCTCACTGGCTGTCCTTGGCAGAGCAGCAGTACTGCGGAGCGAGGCAGAGCCAGCACATGTGCTTTTAGGCAAAGCAGGCATTTGAGAGCCACCTGTACACATGTTGTTTTTCATACTATTTTGGTATAGAAAATGCAAAAGACAAAACAGAGCCACTTTCTTCTGAGACTAAACAAGGACGCTTTTTAGCACATGCAGAAATCATATTATCCATCAAGGTCCTTCACTGTCCTAGCTGGAGTGAAGAGCTCCTGCATGGACCTTTTCATGCCTGAAAGCAGCAGTACTACAGGCAAGGGACATCTCTTCCTCTCCAAAGTGTTTGGATAGGTAACATAACACAGTCATAGGCATGAACTAATCCAAGCCCCGTATGGCATAGACCAGAAGCAGAGGAGTTTTTCTCTTTACTATTCCCTTTGCTATGAGGTTTTACAGAGGTTTCAGGTGAGGTCAGTCCAGCTAGGAGTATACACACCCTTACCAAGGCCACAGGGAACTTTAAAAGAAGCCTCTACCCTGAGACTGTTGTAATGCTTGAGGTATTCAAATTTCACAGAGAGGTCCTCTCCAGTACAGTGCGGTTCCTGCAAGCAAAGCTAGTCAATCTACTCGCAATTAACACAAAATGGGCTGGCTAGATAAATCCACAACACTAATACCCGACTTTGATACAGCATTTTCTTTTCTGAAGATCTCAGAGTCCTTCTGCAAGAGTTCATAAGTATCATTATAATACCAGAAATTAAAATTGGGATAAGAACTAGATAAGTGACATACAGGTAGCTCACAGGGAAGGATAGCAGCGGAGAGTAAAGGAAACCGGGTGTCTTGGACCCTAGTCTCTACTCATCTCTCAGGCCAGACTAGCTTCTGTAATGAATTGCTTAGATTATGCAGGAAGGAAGGAGAGGGCAGAGGTAAAAGCTGATGCAGGAGAGCAAAGATCAGCATTGTCACTTGTTAGTTCTGTAGCAGTTAATGTTACGCCATAAACATTTTTATAAACTAAATTACCGTTGAATTTTGCAAACTGAATTACTTTAATAACATGCAGCCAACATAGTAATCTATACAGCTGGGCCAGAAAAGTACAACTTACCAGTATTGCCATCATGATTATCAGAACAAATAAGATAACGAGCTATCGCAGTAAGCCTCACAGCATTATGATGGTCCCCCATCATTAAGCCAGCACAGATTATGACTCCATAATGGCCTTGCCCTCACACAGATGAGCAGTCATGCCAGCAACTGTTGTTCCTATAGTTATATGGCAGGCAAAGTCATGAATGATCTTGCCTGGTTTTCGGAAAACCTCATAAGAAACGTTTAGTGATACAGGACCTCTTCCAAACAACAGTTTTCCTATTCTCTTCTCATTCATTTCAGACAGTTGTTGCAGGGACATCTGAATCTTCTTACAGCTCCATGACGGGCCAGCCTGCTCCCTGTCTGCTTGCAACCCAAAGTCAAGTTTCGAATACATCAGATCAGCGCAGAGCCTCTGTGCAGCAGCAGTCCCGGAGACCCAGTAATATAAAACAGCCTTGCTGCCACATCACTACTAGAGTGTCAAAGTGCCCCTGGACAGGCCAGAGCTAGCAGAGATGGGATATTTTGAAGGAACGTCTACTGTTTTTACAAGCCTGAGGCTCCCAGCAGGTATTCCATCCTTGACAGATGTATTATAAAATGATGCTCTAATAATTTCCTGCGCAGTCCAGCTCGACCCTGGCCACACTGAGGGCTGTTTGCAAGTTCTGTTCTGTGATCACTGTTTCATTGACTTAGACAACTACCTGAAATTGCTCAAATGAGGTAGATACTTACAAAAACATGGATCTGAGGCTTTTTATAGGGAGAAGCCTGAAGAGGTCTGGATTATGTTTACAGAGGTCTTAGAGACTGAGCTCAGGAGTAGCCCTGAGCACGGTGTGCTTCTTAATATACCCAGGGCCTGGACGCATGGCAGGCCGATTAAGTGTGCGTTGCACACTGTCGCACATACTCTGGACAGTGACTTCCCACCCCAGCTGCCTGCGGGCCTTGACCGTAGGCTCAATGTCAGCAAGGGATCGAGCAATACATTGATCTTACAAAACATTGCAAAAGAATAGAATTACATAGAAAGAGTAGATTACGTACATCTTAAGACAAATTCCACCTGCTTCTGTTGTTTTGAGTTCTCAGCTTTCCTCACGCATTGAATCAAAGTTGCATAATTCACCTGGATGCTGCAGATACAAGAGATAATTTGCTCTTCTCTTCTCTGAATCCTCCTACAAAATTCATAAAACATCTGCATCTCTTTACTCAGAGTCTGTTTTAACAGGGTGTATTAAAGGCATGTCGCAAAGTGCTAAAGCCCAGAATAAGTTCCTCTTTTATGCCCACAAGAGAAAATAATCAAGTACAGTGTTAGTAATCAGTTCTTAGAGATGTACGTGGCATGCCTGCTGTCTTACTACAGTCTGTTCTTAAATATGTTCTGTTAGTTTCTCTGTCTTCTCTGTCACTTCATGAAACGTTTACTTACCAGGCAGTGTTTTGAGTAAGAGCTGCATCTCTGAGATGAATTGCTGGAAAAGCCTTAGAATAGTCTCTGTTGTTAATTGATCCAGAATAACGAGCGGCACTGGCAGGTTTACATCAGCTTTGTTAGGAACTGTCTTATATCTCCTAGAACATTCAGAAAGGTATCAGAAGTATAGCAAGTTGTGGAAAAACCATCCCTGAGCAGAGAACTGCATCCCCTACTTCACACCTGAGCTTTACAGAAGAAAATAAAGAAAGCAGCTTCTGCCCACCTTAGTCCCTCTGCAGCCTTACCCAGGACTCCCCCTCTGACTTTCCCAGAACCTCAAATGTCTTCTACATCACTAGGATGAAGTTCACTCAACAGATAGTTTTCTCTCCCTGGAGCACTGCATCGCAGCCACCTCAGCCCCAGCTTTTACCCGCGCACACCCTGGGATCAAATCTGCAGTTATAGTCCTCATGTTCACATGGCAAGAGCTAACTAGCCATCAGAAGCAGCCTCTGAGATTCTGGCAGAGCAAACATGCTTCTTTGCTGTGATAATGCAATACTTCAACTGCTGCACCTGAACTGCAGGGTTAGGAAAAGGCCAGGATGGGGCAACCTGTGTGCACACAGCAATGGACTGTGTTGTGGAAACAGCACGGGGCAGGCACAAGGAGAATGACTCAGGAGGAAAGCCATGAATATTGCAGACTCACAGCTTCTCCACTGCTAGTGTGATACATCGCTTTTTGGCTCCTGCTGCCTTCGCTTATGAACACCCACGGAGCGGCAGGCTGGTTCAGCGCAACAGCACCATGTCCTCTCACCCTTCTAGCAGGGGACTAACACTCTCAGGGCCATCAGGAAGCAGCTGGAGAGTGCAAGCGCTGCGGTTGTCCATCTGCCCAACACAGCAATGCAGGATGGAGGAAGATTCAGGATATCAGAGTTCAACCATCCTTTGCATGCCCACACAGGGACCTAAAAATTCAGGAATTCCCCTCAGAACGTGTCTCAAGAGCAGACGCTGAGGGTACAGAAAAATAAGCCACATTGTATATGAAGATTCACACATGACTTCGGTTAGCATATTTGGGCTTCTCCATGTTTCTGATTAAGACAGGTTCAGAATGTGCATGCTGAAGGGGCAACCAGCATGAGACCGAGAGCTGCGTGCCTACAGGGTGTGCGAAATGGGCTAACAGCCCAGGATTGTTAGAGCATTAGTCATTAGAAGTGGAAGCGAAACGCAGTGATAGACCATCCAGTGAAGAGCTTCCCTATTTCTAATTGCTTCAAAAGCCTATAAAAGACATTTTCAAAGTAGCATTACTATAGGGCAGACGAAGGCCAGCCCAAATAATTGGAGTATCTCAGGGAAGGGAGATTACCCTCTTTACCTGTGTAGAGATTTTCAGCACCTCTGAACTTTGGTTTTCAGCGCTGTGAGGTTCACTGCTTTCACCAGCACCAGTGTTAAGATGGTTGATGAAAAAGTAGCAGTTCTTGCACTGTGCTTGCCACTATACCTTCTTATTCTGTGCTGAAAATTTTTTATGGATGCATTGCCTTTTGTTCTTTTAAAGAGGGGTGACAAAAAACAGTTTATGTGCTCACTACCCCCACTAAGCCTCCTTCATTGTTTGCAAGTAGCTTCACTACCACTAACAGGACACTGACAACGTAAGTATAGGTTTGTTGTCAGAGTAGTCTTCAGACCAGAAGGGAACATTCCCCACATCCAGGCCAGGACTTCTAGTCCCAACATTTCTACTGGTGGAGGAAGGCAAGAACTAATTTTGCACAGAGTGAATTAGGATTTGGATACCTGCATTATACTCCTTGCTCTTTCAGAGTT